TTCAGCATTTAAAAAATAAAGATTATGTGTGATAATAATGATGCGCGTAAAGAAACAACTGTATTTATTACTTTGCAGTGTAATATTAAACAATATTAATTAATGTTAAAGGATAGTAGTAAATTACGTCATACGTATCGTTTTTTTTGTTCGCAGCATTACGGAAGGAATGCGATAAGGAAATGTCTAATAAAATTTTAAGTCCATTAAGTGGAAGATTAACCATACACACACTTGTTGTCAATAATCGACTAGGCCTCTAAAAAAAAGAACAAAAAGTTGGAAAGTAGTCATAAGCATTTTGCTTTAAAATTAAATGTAATGGTATAACAATCGCTTTTATTTTTTACCGGCTACTCCTCGGACTTAAAGATCGAATTGGCGAATCTCTATATCTTCGGCGAGATTCGGTTCTAAACTTTTCTCTATCGTCTCGTCTATCCCTCTCTCTGTCTCTTTCTCGATCACGATCACTTTCAAAATCCCTCATGTCTCTTTCTTTTCTATCGCGTCGAACGATTCGTGGGCTGCGTCCAGGACTTGGTGTACGTGACACGGAGGAATGTGAATCAGAACTGTGACCTTCATATCGATGTCTTCGTTCCCTTTGCCTGAAAATGGTTAATATTGTAGTTTGGACAAATATAATTGAACGTTGGAAAATAAATGTAAAAGTAGATAAATACAATAAAAATCGTGGTACAAAGGTAATGCAACCTACTTTCTACGTAATTTCAGAGACATTTCTCGAATTTCATCTTCTCGATCTTGTCGTTGTTGTTCCATTTTCTCAATCCTAAGTTGTTCGGCCTTCTTGTCAGCTTTATCTAATATACAATTACAATATTATAATGTATACAAAATTAATCACTGCAATAGATTGTACTCACATTGCTTATTCAGTAAGGCTTGCATTTTCTTCTTAAGCCGCTCCTGAGGTGTGATTTTCAGTGACTGAAATACGTAACTCTTTTACTTTTAAACGTAACTCGATATGTACAAAAATATGTGCAGTAGAACATAATATATTTCTGAAATTTCAAGATAAATATCATAGTATTTAATAGTGTTATCTGCTTAAAGTTTAATTTAAACGTAGATTCACGTTGCAGATATTTAGCTACAATGTTCAAGTAAATTAAACAAAATATTGTCTAATGTCCTTACAATATCAATTTAGGTTAAATAATACATAAACACACTATGAAGTTTATATTAATAGTTCAGAAATTTGTTATGCTACCACATATATTATATTCATATATTTTAATATATCTTAATACATAAAAACGTACTTCATTATAGGATATATTCTAC